TGACTTCTAATTCTTCTAATTTCCTGTGGCCATCTCCTTCCGTTAACTGACTGAACTGAACTAAATTTTTAGCCTCTCATTATATAGACTCGGGTTGGACTCCTCGGAAAACACATGTCTTTTCTTTTGTTGCGTGGGCACTTTCCGGCCGTTGCCTACAAATATATCTAAATTTCATAATATTTACCTATAAGGAATATAGCACAGGTTTTTCTAACACACTTCAGCCAGCCTATATATATATTTCATGAGTACTTCGAAGTCTGTGCAAACTTACCAATTCAATCAAGAAAGTCGTTTTTTGGGATCTGGCGCCGTGTAATCTTTGTTTCAGCCGACGTTTCGGAGGAACTTATCGCCTCCATCTTCAGGACAAGTGACTTGGCTTGCGAATGCAGAGTGCAGTAGCTGTAATGATAGGAAGTGAAAAGAGCTGCTAAGTATAGGAAGTAGGCACGGGGGGTGGTTACGGAGAGGGGACCAATGGGAGCAGTGAAGAGCGTTTAAGGCCATATATGCTCTTGTTGGCAGTGGGTGTGCGTGTGTGGGGGGGGAGGACTGCCAGTGAATCCAGGCAACCTGGAGGTCAATGGCACTGAAGTTGCAGTTAGACAAGAAGAACCGGTTGGCTGGGGGCAGGCTACTGACGCCAATGACATGATTTACAGGGGACAGGATACTGATGTCAACGACATGACGAAGAACTGGGGTGGTTTGGTGGAGTTCTCTTGAGGGAGAGGCTTCCATGCCATATATGGCCTTAAACGCTCTTCACTGCTCCCATTGGTCCCCTCTCCGTAACCACCCCCCGTGCCTACTTCCTATACTTAGCAGCTCTTTTCACTTCCTATCATTACAGCTACTGCACTCTGCATTCGCAAGCCAAGTCACTTGTCCTGAAGATGGAGGCGATAAGTTCCTCCGAAACGTCGGCTGAAACAAAGATTACACGGCGCCAGATCCCAAAAAACGACTTTCTTGATTGAATTGGTAAGTTTGCACAGACTTCGAAGTACTCATGAAATATATATATAGGCTGGCTGAAGTGTGTTAGAAAAACCTGTGCTATATTCCTTATAGGTAAATATTATGAAATTTAGATATATTTGTAGGCAACGGCCGGAAAGTGCCCACGCAACAAAAGAAAAGACATGTGTTTTCCGAGGAGTCCAACCCGAGTCTATATAATGAGAGGCTAAAAATTTAGTTCAGTTCAGTCAGTTAACGGAAGGAGATGGCCACACGAAATTAGAAGAATTAGAAGTCAACCTGTGAGGACTTAATGTGGGATTAGAATATTTAGTCACAGTGAGGTTATTAATTCCGGTACTAGAATAGGACTAGTGAAAAATGGGAAACCTAATGCGTGTGTTAACAGTGAACTGTAAATTGAGTAAATCAGCGACAGCGCTGTGTTTCCTGTAGGTACGATTTGATTGCTTAGGGTGCTAATTAATCTAATAGCAAACCCAATCCCAGTCTGTACTCACTAATAAATGTGACCTTATTTTCCTGTACCTTATCCTATCCAAAATTGCCTAAATATAGGACATGCTCTATCGCCATTAAATTTCAAATTTCCTTTATTATTGTACGCCATTAGGTATATGCGGGAATATCTAATCGAATTAAATTAAATGGGCATATCAGCTGCTTGTGTATGGTGATGATGTAAATATGATTGGAGATAACGTGTATTCCATAAAGAAGAACAAAGAAATTTGTTGGTGCTCGTAAGGAAACTTGGAAGAAGTAAATGCAGACAAATCTAAGTGCATGTAGATACTTCATAGCGTAGGATCAGCGGTTGAAAATTTATGAACAGGTTGAGTAGAATATTTGCATCGAACTGTGTTCAAGTGAAAGGTGGCTTGAGAAAATTATATGAGGAGCGTCATTACATTCTAAAAATAGTACATATATTTAGTAGAGGAGGAATTGATGAGCAGGGGATGTACGTACCGTGAATATTTAGTCATTGTGTATAATTGTGTATATCACTATATTATCACTTATAGGACTCCCGATGTTTTTAAATATGCCACCCTGTGCGTATACTTACAGATATAGAACTGTTTTCTAGTTGCTGTCCGTTTTCAATTCTTGACCAACCTCCTCACTGCTCATTTCCCTTGATAATTTACTTGAGAGAAAAACGTCGCTGCTACTGAATTGAATTACTTGAGTTCACTTGTAAATAAAAGTTTCCATCTGGATCTCGAATAATAAAACTTTAATTCAGAAGCTCGTGAACCCTGACTGTTATTTTTAAATTTCTGACACTCAACATTAATTACTCCTCATTATATAGCTTTCGCCCCGACATCACAGAAAACAGCCTGTGTTTGTGTGTACCGCAACATTACTTAGCAACATAGAAAACGCAGCAGTTCTATTGTTGTCTTGCGTATATTCGGTGGCGAGGTGTTTAACGGTCAGTTACCGAACAACGCTCTGTGTAACACGGTACATTATTATTATTATTATTATTATTATTATAATTTGCTTTGATCCTTGGCCTTTAGTTCAAAAGTGAACTGCACCAAACGATCGACCACCGCTTGTCGGCGAAGTTAGTGCCAACTTGTGTCGCGTGGTCAGCACGATGGATTTCAACGGCCGTTAATATTGTCACGGGTTGGATGTATAACGCGATAAATAAATTCACGCCGTATTGGAGGATATAGCGAATTTTATTTAACATTCGCTCTTACACTCACACAATTTACAAGCTCACAATTACCGCTATCTGCAGTATCACAAATACTAGCCTACTAGGTTTGCTCGGAACTAATTCGGAATTAACTGTGAATGGTCTTCACTGCTCCGTATCTAGCCTCGTTCCCGACAACGCAGAAAACAGCCACGTAATAGGCACCATTGTTGCCTGGCGCCGTGTTGCTAGCAACGCTGTCCGGAGTTGTTTACTGCTGCCTAGCAACCGCGGTATCCCTTGTGACGTCACCGCTGTTGACTCGCATTGCATAGCGACCAGTATGCTGGGACTCGCCTAATTTCGGCTCCGCTCGGCGCGTCAACTCCGGGGGGGTGGCGGGCGTCCAGTTAGCGCGACACGTCACAATATTGTAACGTGTTTTGGGTTCGAATCTTGTTGGTCACGTGTGTAAGTCCAAATCCTCATATTTACCAATGTGTTTGACTTACTACAGGAGTCATTGTGGGCACTCAGTAGCTTAGTTGCTTGAGCCGCTATGCTACAAGCATTGCTTTTCTAGTTTATGTTCATTTTCAAATCTTGACCAACCTTCTCACTACCTGATCTCCTCGATAATTTACTTCAGAAAATGAACCCACTGCTGCTAATTAAATTACTTCTGTTCACTTCGAAATAAATAGTCTTCTGTCTTCAAATTCAAGAACAAACACAGTTCGTAAATTTAGAGACGACGTGTTATGTTGTATGGATGCCTGGAAATTTGTAGGCAACAGAGTAATTACATGGTAATTGTATCAGAAGTCCGTATCCTTGGAACGACATAGTAAGAGAACTGTTATCGAAGGAAGTCAGTATCCTAGCAACAATGGAAGAACAACAGCAATATTGTGGAAAGATACAGCAGAATTTAAATTAAGAAAAGGAAGTCAGGATCATAGCAACAATCGAAAAGAACAGCATTATTGTGGAAAGATACAGCAGAATTTAAATTAAGAAAAGGAAATCAGTATCGTAGCAACAATGGAAAAACAACAGCATTATTGTGGAAAGATACAGCGTAATTTAAATTAAGAAAAGGAAGTCAGGATCATAGCAACAATGAAAAAGAACAGCATTATTGTGGAAAGATACAGCAGAATTTAAATTAAGAAAAGGAAATCAGTANAAAAAAAACACAACTTGTAAATTTAGCAACGACGAGTTATGTTGCATGGATGCCTGGAAATTTGTAGGCAACAGAGTAANGGAAATCAGTATCGTAGCAACAATGGAAAAACAACAGCATTATTGTGGAAAGATACAGCGTAATTTAAATTAAGAAAAGGAAGTCAGGATCATAGCAACAATGGAAAAGAACAGCATTCTTGTGGAAAGATACAGCAGAATTTAAATTAAGAAAAGGAAGTTAGTATCCTAGCAACAATGGATATACAACAGGATTATTGTGGAATTTAAATTAAGAAAAGGAAGTCAGTATCGTAGCAACGATGGAATAACAATAGCATTATTGTGGAAAGATACAGCAGAATTTAAAGTAAGAAAATGTCTATTAATGTTGAACGTTATACGAGGTCGCAAATGGAATTAAGCTGTACGTAACAGAAAATATAACAATTTGTCCGTATGTAACAGAAATTGTAACCATTTGTGATTATTGATACATTCGCTACTAAATAACGGAAGTTTTATTGTTGACTTGGTTACCTTTGAAATGTGCTCAGCGTAGCACGTGGAAGGATCCGGACATATTTTGTGTGAAATGCCTGAATAATTGCGAGCTTCCGAAAAGTGCAACCCGTTTTGGTCCCTCTCACCGTTTAGCAGTTACGTTCGTGCTGCATATTTGAGAGAGTAGATTAAAAGGAAGTGGTCACAAGAAGACAATTGTAATTATGTACCCAAAGAAACAAACAAACTAAAATTTGTTGGTGCTGGTAAGGAGACTTGGAAGAAGTAAATGCAGACAAATCTAAGTGCATGTAGATACTTCATAGCGTAGGATCAGCGGTTGAAAATTTATGAACAGGTTGAGTAGAATATTTGCATCGAACTGTGTTGAAGTAAAAGGTGGCTTGAGAAAATTATTTAATAAGGAGCGTCATTACATTCTAAAAGCAATGCTGTGATTTAGTAGAGGATGGGTAGGGCATGTTCGTACAATGAATATTTAGTAATTGTGTATAATTGTGTATATCACTATATTATGACTTATAGGACTATCGATGTTTTTAAATATGCCACCCTGTGCATATACTTACAGATATAGAACTGTTTTCTAGTTGCTGTCCGTTTTCAATTCTTGACCAACCTCCTCACTGCCTATTTTCCTTGGTAATTTACTTGAGAGAAAAAATTCGTTTCTACTGAATTGAATTACTTGTGTTCACTTGTAAATAAAAGTTTCCATCTGGATCTCGAATAATAAAACTTTAATTCAGAAGCTCGTGAACTCTGACGGTTAAAGTTCAATTTCTGACATTCAACCTTAGTTACTCCTTATTATATAGCTTTCGCACCGACCTCACAGAAAACAGCCTATATTGTTGTCTACGGCAACGTTACTTATCAACACAGAAAACGCAGTAGTTCTATTGTTGTCTTGCGTGTATTCGGTCGCGAGGTGTTTAACGGTAAGTTACCTAGCAACGCTCTGTCTAACACGGTACATTATTATTATAATTATTATTATTTGCTTTGATCCTTGGCCTTTAGTCCAAAAGTGAACTGTACCAAACGATCGACCGCCGCTTGTCGGCGAAGTTAGTGCCAAATTGTGTCGCGTGGTCAGCACAACGGATTTCTACGGCCGTTAATATTTTCATATCCTCATAATTACCAATGTGTTTGACTTACTACAGGAGCCATTATGGGCACTCAGTAGCTTAGTTGCTTGAGCCGCTATGCTACAAGCATTGCTTTTCTAGTTTATGTTCATTTTCAATTCTTGACCAGCCTTCTCAATACCTGATCTCCTTGATAATTTACTTCCGAAAATGAACCCAATGCTACTAATTAAATTGCTTCTGTTCACTTCGAAATAAATCGTCTTTTGTCTTCAAATTCAAGGAAAAACACAGCTTGTAAATTTAGCAACGAGGAGTTATGTTGCATGGATGCCTGGAAATTTGTAGGCAACACAGTAATTACGCGGTAATTGTATCAGAAGTCCGTGTCCTAGGAACGACATAATAAGAGTACTGTTATCGAAGAAAGTCAGTATCCTAGCAACAATGGAAAAACAACAGCATTATTGTGGAATTTAAATTAAGAAATGGAAGACAGTATCGTAGCAACGATGGAATAACAACAGCAT